TTTTGGGACCCCATGTAATGTCATTGGAAAGATCACCGTTTTCTTGCATGTCCTGAACATCGTGCTCCCAGTACCACTACACCCAGCCATATGCCGATTCCTGCAGCCATGCAACCTGACCTGCAGAACACATACTCAAAGGCCTCACATGGATGCCGATATGACTGCTCCTACATGGCAAGGGTACCCCCCAAGAGGAAAAACATGTTCCAGGTACTTGCCCACAAATGCTACGTTTGGGGGGGTGGGTCAGTATAGTCTGCGCTTTCTCGCCAAATCCACTCCTGCCCCCGAGCTCTGGCTGAACTTTAAGATGCACTGACTTCCCAGTCTCCCTGTTCTCAAGATGCAGAACCCATGGGACCCAAGCCCAGTCCAAGTTACAACTCATGCTCTTTCGCAGCTACAAAATGTGCAGGCATCTGTGTGTGTGTGTGTGTGTGTGTGTGCGTGTGCGTGCGTATCTGTGTGTGTGTGTGCCTGTACGTATGTGTGTGTGTGTGCAACTTTCTCAAGATATACATGTGCGTGCAATTCTTAAAGGATGAGGCTGTCCTGACACGCCACGATTCTGCTCCGCGACGTGCTCCCTGTCTAACCGTCAAACAAAAATCCGACAAGCCATGGGCCCCTGACCGGGTCCGCTTGGTCCGCTCATGCCAGCACCTGACCAGCACATGCTCTGTCGAGCCTGTGCAAAGAGGGGTCAGCAAGGAACACATTTGACCTGAAACAATAAGCAGAAGCGAGTCACTTTGCACAGTTCAGAGCTCTCACAAGTCCCACGGGCTACTTCTGCTACTAGCGACCACATCGCACTGCCAGTGCTGCCTCCCAGCCCAGACCTTCTCACCCACTGTGTCCCGCACTGGGTGCGCTACCACTTTTGTGACCTCACCAAGTCTTCAGAATCCCTTGCAAGAACCTTGCACTTCGTTCACAACCTCTACACCTGCCTCACCAAGTCAGACTTCTACTCCCTCAAAGTTGCCTCCCCCTCCCCGCCCGCCACCCCCCGCGCAGCTTCGCTGGTCGGTCAGCATAACAGGAGAAGCGCCAATGAGGCCAACCCAAAAGAACTGCCTGAGTCATCCCAAGGCAGTCAGTGTGAAAGAGGTCCTTTGCTGCAAATGACGGCAAAAGACCATGATTGCCCAGGCTTCACCTAGGGAGGAACTCAGGAAACTTTCTCGAAAGCAAGAAAAAGGCTCTCCCCTCTTCGGATATTTTGTCAAAGGCCCTCCCACCTACGACTGAGCCGAATGCCGGACCCGCCAGCGCTGCCCGGACCCATGCCGGGACCTCTGCGTATATGGCTGCGGGTCAAGAATGGGTACCCAAAAATGGGTCACCCCGGTAAATGGAAACATGGACAAAAACCTGCTGCCCCCTGGTGGTTTAATTTTGACCCATCCATAACATGTTTGCCACTAAAATTGTCTAAACCCGAACAAGCGATGAGTCTGACGTTGGAACATGCCCTTGTGGAAAGGAGTCAGCTTGGATGTCTTCCAAAAGCCCATGTCACATCTGCTGGCCCCACCTGGCAAAGCAGCTTTCCAAGGCGGCGCCTGAAACAAGATCGCGAAGCACCAAGCTGCAATGGCCATGCGGCGCGGCTCACATGCTGGCAGTGGATGAAACACCCCCAGGTTCAAAAAGCATCGCTCAAACGAAATGTCCAGGAAAACCAGCAATGAGCTGCCGCGCAAAAAAAAAGAAGGACAAAAAAAACGAACACGTGTTGTAGGACTGGAAATATGTTTCGTGTCTCATCCCAGGTTTGAAACAAACAAAAAATGATGGAAAGAAAAAGAAAAAATAAAAAAAGAAACGAACATGTGGTGTTCTTCCCTAGTTGCTCCCCGCACCTGCGGCCGCTCTGGAGGCCTGAAGACCTAGCGACAAGGAGCGACGGGTGAGCCCCGGCGGTGAGCCCAAACTCTGCCGAAGCGCCACCTGCGACTTGGAGAGGGGCTCGCCCATCTGGCCGAAGGCAAAACGCAAAACGCAAAACGCGCGCGGCCCAAGTGGAAGGCCAGTTGCGCAGTCAAAACCCTTGAAATGTACTGGGATTCCCTTCACTCCAGTTCCCCGAGCTTTGATTGGAACGCCAGCCCTGCCTGGAAGGGCGCCCCCGATTTGGGCGCCGAAACCGCCGCTCTCGGCGGCGCGGGCGGCGCCGGCGCCGGCGCCGGCTGCTTGCCCTTGTGCCGTGGCACCTCCGGCACCTGCGGCACCTGCGGCACCTGCGGCACCTGTGGCACCTGCCTCGGCCTGGGTGGCACCTCAGGCCTGGGCACCTGCGGCGTGCGGCAGCAAAGCATGCAGTGATGAAACCCAAAACAAGGCAACTCGGTGGCGTGACGACATGCGAGCCTTCCATGGAGGCTGCTGCACCTGAGTTGCCGACATCGGCCCAGTGACTTTCCATGAACTGCCTTCGGGCTCCCCGGCGCCATCCATGCCATTGAAGCTAGACACCTTACACTTCAATTTGAGTCCCGCAAGGGAAACAAAAGAGCACAGGTCATTTCTTTTAAAGTTAAACCCCCCAAAATGGATTTTGTTCTTCCTCTTGGTTTCCCTTGGAAACCCACGCAAAGTGGGGGTAGCAGGGGCACCAACCCAAAAAAGACAGGCCACCCATCTCGTCCTTGGGGGCCGGACATCTGGCAGCAGCATCCCGCCTCGCGGCACAGGCGCCTTACCTGGAACTCCAATTGCCGCTTGGGACATGCCAAGGCAAACACCGGACCACTTGGCATGCCGCCAAGCAGGGTGTGACTATGCTCACAACCCATAGTTATGGCCGTCCACCTCACTGTGCCCATGTCTGCATTGTCATGTGAAGTCGAATACCCCCCCACCCTCGTCACATCGAACCTGACGTTCAGGGTCCCTTTAAAAGGAAAATGGGAACGTCGCAGGGTTCCATGTGCAAAGGGTGGGAGGCTAAGCTTTTGCACAAATGAGCCATTCTGGAAAATTGTGTCAGCCAAGAGGAGGCTATCATACAATCCTGAAATAAAAGCATTCCCACACCGTCAGCTGGCATTAGCTGGAAATGGGGCTCGCTTGCGCTTGCAGTTAGGAGATCATGGCATCGAAAGCACATAGGACAGTCAGGCCTGGCATGCATGATTGGTCTTTTAAGAATGATCGGCACCATCCAGGTGGAAAGCTCTACCGGCGGAAATGCTCAGAAGCCCCACAAACTTAGCGTGGGAAGTGGGCCAATGTTTATGTCTGATGCTTAGAGCCATGCTTACTTGGCGGTTGCTTTCCAAAGATGCAACCAACAGCCTCCAGTCGCCAAAAAAAACTTGATCCACGAGCTGAGCTCGGCGAACTCGCCCGACGCCCAAACCGCCCGACGCCCGATTCCACCTGCAGGCGGCGCCGCCCTAGGCGTGCTTTCCACCCGCAAGGTTCCTTCCATCCCGTCCGGCCCAGCGCCTTCATTTTTTTCCGAAACTCCGCCACTCAACCCAAGGCAGCCCCAGAAACTCATTCCCTATGGTTTGCATTCAGGGCAGAACCAGAAACTATGGTATGGAATGACCCAGAAACTTTGCCAAATTCCAAGGCAGCCCCAGAAACTCTCGAACTCTTTCAAGTTGTTTCACCTGGGCTCCGGCTTGAAGGGTGGCGCCATACCTCGGAGCGCAAAAAGGCCAGATTTGCCGACTCCTTTGCCGGGCAAAACAAACAAAAACCAGTGGGTGTCTCTGTTAGCTTGGACCCCCCCCAAACAAAAAACCTGTTTGGGGGGTTCCTGCTGGTTTCCCCAAAACGGGTACCCTCAGAACGACATACCCGATTGGCGAAACCAGAGCAACCCCAAAAGCATCCGACTCCATCCCCGGCCTGGCTTTGCGCTGGCCTCCGGAAGGCGCCACGCCCCCCAAAACTCTCGTTGGAGTGAACGCCTTCTCTCAGTCTGCCGAAAAAAATGGCGGGTCACTTGGGTATGGGTCAAAATCAAAACACCAGGATATGGACCGCAGGTTATAGTCTTTGCTGCCATTTGCCGTTCCATTCTGGGTACCTATTTCTGACCCACACCCACTTCCCTTTGGGTGCCCCCTTTGGCACACGGACGCCATCCGCACATTCGGCAGCCAATACCCGCCTTCCCCCAGAGGCTGTCAGCCACGGCCTGGCGCGCTGGCTCACGTCGCGGCTACCGCTTCGCACCTGTCGCGCCCGCCTTGGGGAAGTCCCAGAGCTCCTCTGCCTCGGAGCTGGCGATGCGGATGGTTGCGAAATAGGCACGCGTTCAGAAACCCAACGGAATAATTCGATTCGCCTGTAAAAATACCAACAAGCACTGGCTTCAACCATGGATTCAAAGTGCTGCGAAATGGATTTCGCAACCATCCATGGTGGCTCTCTCTCTCTCTCTCTCTCTCTTCCATCTTAATTAGGGGTCGTTTGGTGGACGGTCGTTTCGGTGGAGATTTATGTCCACCAACCATTTGGGAGGGTGTTCCATGTCCATGTCAATTCACATCTCTCTAGCTCTCCATGTCCATATCTCTAGCTCAAGTTGGCTGACTGGACCTTGAGAGGAACTCTTCTCCCAAATCGAGGGTCAAGGAGGTGCCTGCCGAGAAAATCCTCAGCCCCGCACTGAGCGCTTCATGGCCGGGCGAATGGCAGGCGCAGACGCAAGGCTGGCTGGCTCTGATGCTGTCGGGCAATCGGTGGGGCTATGTGGCTGAGGGTAGCCAATGAAGGCAAGGCCATTTGGCACTTGCACAGCTGGGTGTGGTGGTTGCTGTTGAGGCGAAACGCAACAAGTGGATCTCTTTCTCTCGATTGGCGTCGCCTTCGCGGCATCCCTTCATTTGAATGCTCTCTGCCGCGGCCGGTAGCTTGACCCAAATCGCAAATGAATCAAGGCCAAAGGCTCAAGTCAAGGTGCGCTCTGGTCGTGCAAGTCAAAACACGAAAAATGTTGGAAAAGGCTCGGCCAGTCTGAATCGATCTTTTTTGAGCACCTCCTCTGCGAAACATCAGCCCTGTCAGCTCCTTCACGCGAGAAAAAATCGGTGAGACATAGCTGCGAGCCTGGCGAATGCAAATTCCGATTCTCGCCGCCCTTGAGAACGAATAAAGCCGTGCAATTCCTGCAGTGGTGTATTTCAACCCAAGCCGCACCTAGTCGTGATCAGGCATCGTGTACCTGTGCCTGAAGCACCGAGCTGGAAGCACGGATCTGCATTGACAAGGTGTGCCACCCACTCGGACAAAAGCAAATCGGCTGCAACATGGCCGTCGTTCTTAGGGTACCCACAAATCTAACAAAAGCAAAGAAGATGGTGTCCTTTTGGCTTCCAGTTCAAACCGCCAAGAAGAGCTAAAATAAGCGGAGCCGTCCATCTCTGCAACCTGCCCGCCTGGGCCGTGCGCGGGAAGCTTCCTGGCAGCTGGAGATGGCAGATTTCTGGGCCAAGACATTCGCCCGGGTGATCCAAAGGTCTCCTACATTGGGCGACCAGAAAAGAAACCACCAAAGAAGGATGACGGACTTTAAGTTGCCCATGCTCAGTTTATGGCCGAACGGAAGATTGATCAATATTGATCAACCCCACCCGGCATCTGGGGTAAATTGGCTCGCACATCTGCGGCACGCAAAACGATCCTTCCATGTACACCACATAGATCGTCCGTTCTGAAAGCAAGACTGCTCACCCGACATCTTGCATCAAACTATCAAAATACCCCGTTTTGCCCTCGTAACAAGAAAACGATCTCTCTTTTCCTGTCATGCATTTTCAAAAGAATCTGGGAACCGCATTAAAATCCTCCGACGACCGAGAACAAAGCCCTCTGGGTCTGCTGGCTGGCGTAGCCTCGGACCGGGCATATGACAAGTGGAGCACGTCTCGCTGGTTCGATAAACAGAATTTGAGAAACGGGCTCACTCATAACCATCCGATTCGGTGTCCGTTTCTTCGGGAACCAATCCACAATTGGCTTATTCAACCAACACCCAGTCGCATTGGCATTCCCTCAGCTCGAAAGGCCCGGAGCTGAAGATCTCTTGGCTTCCCGGCGGCTTCTTCGGTCTCCTCCCCGGCGATGCCCAGGCAGTCGTTATCATCTGTGTCCTCGCAAACACCCCGCTCTGGCGCTTCGCGGTCCTTAAAAGTGCCACCTTCATGAGAATTGTCGGAGGTGGCCCTGAGAGAAAAGCTGTCACAGTACAAGGTTTGCGCTGGTGGATAAGGCAACAGTACAGTGCCTCAAGAAACCTGAAGCTTCTCTCTGAATACTTGCAAAAGCCAAGCGAGCCTCACTAGTTTTGCTCCCACAAGGCTGAAGTAGGACCCCCAAGTTAAGTTGTTGTTGGATGTTGGAGGGAGGAGCTGCCCGCTCTCGCATTCATCCCTTCTTGCTCCGCGCTCCTCTTTCAGCCAGCTGTCCATCTCATCAGCGATTGCTGGCTCTGTGTAGTCAGGCCTAAACCAGTCAAATGCCTGCCTGCGACACTCCAAACTTGACAAGAACCCTCCGTCGCCGGGATACTTTAAGCCACCGCGCCTGGGAGCAGAAGGGTAGGGCAAAGGCCAGGACCACCTGAGCCAAATCGAAACTCAACCTGTCAAAACCCCCTCAGCCCCTCAAAGGCAAGCGCCTTTCGCCTCTCACCCCAAAGTGGCATGGTCCAAACGAGCCGGGAGCACCAGCTCCTGCCAAAAACGGCCTTGAAGTGCTCCTGCGTACTGCTGCGCATGCCGTGGGTGCGCTGGTACCTGCCGGAAAGAAAAAAAAAGTGGGGTCGCCGGCTGACCAACTTGCAACAGCTGTGCAAGTCCGAAATACCCCAAGGGGATCAACATAACACTGATGTATAGCGCACGTCTCCACCAGAGTGCTATTCATCTGGATGGACTCCACCTGTTCCTAGCGAGACTGAACTGAACAAAAATGCACATCCGGAAAATCGGAGAGTGAGCGTGGGAGAACCAGGGTTTCAGCCTCTCTTGCAAACAATACTATGTGCTGCCTTTGCTGCCTGTGCTGCCTGTGCTGCCTGTGCTGCCTGTGCTGCCTGTGCTGCCTGTGCTGCCTGTGCTGCGTGTGTGTGCGTGCGCGTGGTCCCGGAAAGGAGCCTCCAACTGCTCTCAGGGGGAAGGCTCCCCGGCGCCGCCGTGGTGACTATCCCGTCGCCTGCAGAAAGTCGCTCACAAAGAGCATCGCGGCGAAGCATTCCATGGCCACCAGCCCCGAACCTGACATTTCCCTCGGCCCTTCGATTCGGGCCCCAACGAAGCGACTCAATTGTGAACGGCTCACCTCAAGCGAGTTCCATCTCAAAAGCCACAAAACAACCAAATCTCTTTGCTGGCCTTTTCCACACCAGGGTTTCCGAGCAATTTCCTGTTTTAACCCCAAAAGCGGCGATCCTTTGCAATGGACACCACAAATGTCAATTGAGACCGACTTTTGATTTGGGGAAATCCAGTCAGCCCCTGAAACCAAGGTGCTGGGAACCACCAGTAAATTCATCCTTCCAAGCAGACATCCCGTCTTCCCCTGAAACCAAGCCCCGGGTCACCTCAGCTGGGAAGGTGTCAAAGTAGCGATCTGGACGCTCGAAACGGTCTTCGCTAGTCCTCTTTTGGTTGGACAGTGCCCTCCGCCTGGGCCCTCCGACAAATCAGCGAGGCACTTCCCGGTGGCGGGGCGTCGGACCAGGACTGCTGGCTCTGGGCGGCGAGACGAGGCTCAGCAAGGGCCCGGAAAACCAGCAGCTTGAGAATATGCACATGATTAAAATGGGAAAGTACCCAAAATGGGAACGGTAAATGGAAACCTGGATTAAAGCTGTGGTCCCATGGTGGTTTAATTTTGACCCACAGCCACATATTCACAGGTTCCTGAACAACTCCTATGACAGTCTTTTGAAAAGAACTCAGAATGGCGGTGTTCCTTCTGGTTTCGCTTGGAAGCCCTTTTTTTAATATAACAAAGGGGAAGAAACAGAAATCCCGGCTGCGCGGCCAGCGCTCGTGACGCCGTGACCCGGGTGCCCACACCCAAAGCCAGTAGAATGCCCCGGCCGCGAGGAGCAAAAGAGTGTAGACCGCGGCGGCGCAGGTATAAACTGGCGCCAGCTTTCATTCCACTGCCAAATGCCCAAAAAAAAAAAAACGCGCCACCTTCTCAAACGAACATGCGAAGAAGCAAAGAAAAAGCGCTACCCTCAAACGAACCTTGGATGTTTTAAGGCACCTCCATTTGTATGGCTAGTTTGAGGCTCCGGTGTGCTTGTTAGGTATTGCATGTCGAATTCTCGTTCGGGTCGAAGTTCAACAAGCTTGCCTGGCCTTAGGTGAGTCTGTGAGCAAGAGGTGAACAGCCGCAACAAACACCCCAAAAAAAGGCGGGCGATGGGCGGCCGGCGAATCCTTGAATACTCGGCCGGCCGGGCTTAGGAAGAGAATGAAGAGCTTCTGGTTCGTGAGTCCAACGCAGTTGTTGATCCACGGACAATGATGGTCCTCAACGCCGGAAGAGAAAAACCTCCCGCAAATCCCACGAAAACCTCTGGCCTGCCTGCCGCCCGGATGTTATGCTAGGCTTCTCCCGCAAATCCTAGAGGTCATGTTTATGCTTCTATGCGCTGCAAGCCTGAGCTGTTGCTCTCCGAAAACCGACTGGGAAGAAATTGGGTGGGATTGTATCCTTTCACCTTGTACGAACATAGGAAAGTCCCTCGGGGCTCGACATCAACCATAGACCACAAGCTCTGCCGAGTTGGTTGGTTGCCACGCGCCAGTGTGACTTCCCAATATGTTGCTCTCTCCACACTTCAACCGCGGGTCCATGCGGAAGATGCACCGTCGACACCTGAGCTGCGCTGAGGTTTGATTTGTTTATTTATTTATTTTTTGTTTATCAGCTCCAAGCTACTGAGCCATCAAATATCAAGAGAAGTATTGTACAGAATCTTTGTCTCCAACCGCCAGCTGAATGACAAACTGAACATCAAAATGAGAATGTACCAAAACAGGGGATTGCATTTAGGATGACGTTTAAAGGCAAACCAAAAGGAAACCACCCCCAAATGCACGCAAGCCGAAGTTCAACTGGGCTGACTCGCTTTCTGTAACTGCTAAGCTCGTTTGACTGGGTACCCCGACGTCTTGCAGTGGTGGGCGCGGGGCGGCTTCCACCGATTCTGGCGCGAAGGATCGCTGACCGTTTCTCCATCTTCCCGCTGCCCGATCCCCTGGCCAAAAGTCCAACTCTTCGTCTAGTGAAAACTACCACTAAGCCAACTAAAATGCGAAGAACATGAAGGAGGAAAGAAGAAAAGAAAAGAAGAAAGAAACCAAAAAAAAGGAAACGAGGAACCGGATGGCTGGGCTTGCCATCTTCTAAAACTCCCAAAAACAGTGCCAACAGCCCGTGACATGCGGAACTGCTTCCCACAATGGCGCCGGCGCCTTGCAGAGCTTGCAGATTCGGGGGTTCTGGAAGCCGCCGGGCGGCTCACTGCAAGCGACAGTCGAGCAGTCTGATCCGATGGAGGCTGTCATCACTTTTTTCAATCATGGGTCGTAAGACACGCTCGTGAGCGGAAAGTGTAGAAAAAGAAACCAGCTTTGCCCTGATTCGGGGATTTGGGACAAACAACTCGGGGTTCCGATCCAGCTGCAGTTTTCTGCCCGCACCTCACTGTGATAGTGCCGGGGTCCGTGGTCACAGCCCGTACATGTGAGACCCTTGGCACAGGGCTCAAAAAACCCAAGATTCGCACTGGCGTGTTTCAGAGGAAAAAAAGAGTTAGTGAACCCGTCGTCCTAATCCATCAGTACCGGCTGCAAAGTTTAGAAATGAGTACGAGCTGTTTGTTCCTGGATGTGTTGTGTTTGTTTGTGTCACAAGGTGGGCAATGCGGCATTCTTGTTGACAAGAACTGGCAGCAAGCCGCTGTGTCCACTTCTTTCAGATAGCAAATCCAGGCTCCAGGCAGAGACAGACCCAGAAGCAGCTGATACCTCGCAGGTGCTCAACAGTTTGGCCCCAGATCGACGACAAGTCGACCTGCGACGCTTTCCAAAGAAGCTATGCCGCCACGTTTGTTCCATCTATCCTTTCAGCTGTTCAGAGCTCGACCGTCCCAGGCGCTCAGCCCTAGACCCCGAGACCCCGAGACCCCGGCACTACCAGCAGCGCTGTGCCCAGGTCGGTCAACGGCACCTCAAACGCTTCGGCTTCCGCTTCGAAGCTCGAGGATCTGAGCCGCCCGGCCCAAGGAAATCTTGGCCGGCCCGTAGAGAACCAAGCGAACTGAGCACGGCCGGCCGTCGGCGCAAGCACCGGAGTACCACGACCGATTTCTCGCCTTTTTTCCCCAACAGCTAAAAGCTTTGGGGTCTCAGCCCAGATAGGCTCCGGGGTGGTCCAGGGCGGCCCTGAGGTAAGGTTCCACGAGGGTTCCACCAGGGTTCCACCAGCGTTCCACGAGGGTTCCACTAGGTTCTGCGAGGGCTGCGGGGTGGTGCGAGCACTAAAAAGAGCACCGCATGCTGTTAGGGATATTTTCTGAGCTTATTTTGGAATCCGAGAAAATCACGACGTGCGGGGTTTTGCCGCCCAGAAATTTCAGGCCCTACCCTTCGAGGCAAACTGAAGGTCGTACATGTTGTCAAAACCGAGCAAGTTCGCGCAGCTCCAAGGTGCCAGCCAGTACATACCGCACCTTGGCAGGTATTTCTGGGCAGACCAGTTGCAAAATATCCGACTCAAACTGCGGCACCCACGTGCCTCATCTAAACCATTGCGCTCTCAATCCCTCCCTCGCTCTCTCGCTCCCGCGCTCGACAAGGTCCGCGGGTTCCCAGCCACCACCCAGTCAGTAAAAGCCAGCAATGCCCAGGTGAGGATCGATAAGGCGAGGCCCAAGGCATCGCAATTGATCCTGGCGATGCAAAGCCCAAGGGAACCACTTTACAACAAGAATGGATCACATTGGGTCGAAAATCAACTTCTTCTGCTGGTTCTTCCTGCGATCCATTGCAAGTTTGCCTGCTCCTGAACGTTCCGCCTCCCTGGCCCGAGCAACAGCAGTTGGCCAAATATTAATTCGCCAGCGGTTCCACATGTTGCAGCTAAGCCATGGGTCGCAAGGTCAGGGGCACATTAGGGATAGCTCCTTTCATCCGGCAATGGCTTCACGGTGGGTTGAAGGCTCTGAGGCCAAAACGCATGAGATATCCCTTCTGTGTGGCTTTGATATGCGACTCACTCGGGGCAGATTGAAAGTTTGGCAGCTTCAATGGATCTTGTCGAAACTCTGCGCAGTGGCCGTGTACCTAGTAAAGCTGTACTGCAGCGTTCGGTTTATTGAAGCTTTGAGCCGGATATGGCGATATCCTGGTGGATGCGAAATTCAAGCCTGATCCATGTGCTGGCAACAAAGCCCAAGACTGACGTTGGAGCCTGCATCTATGTCAACTTCCAGCAAAACTGATTTAGTCGCGTTTGCGAGAGAGGCAGAAGTGCGTTGCGCAACTGCAGGTGCTGGTTTCATCACGTCTTGCACCGTTCACATCATGGAACTGGTGGCTGCATCTTTCTTGCCTCAAACACGTGCCGTGCTTTTGAAAGCTGTTCAGGCGTTCACCACCTTGCCATAGAAGATGCCCTTCAGCAAGATGGTCCTCACAAAAAAAAAAATCACTCAAGCTCTCACAATCTACAATTGTTACTCCAATCCGGTCCTTGGAGCCTTGGCACCCATGTCGGTGTCAGAAGGCTGCTTGGAGACGAAGACGCCACCGATCTCGCCAAGCTCCTGGTTCACCTGCCCGATCTCTCTCAAGAAATTAGTACCTTTACCTCCAACAAAATGGGTCCCAAGCAGGTAATGCGGGCTGCCACAAGCACGGCAAATACTAGGTTACCAGGATTCGATCAGATGACTGCAATTCAAATGAGAGGTGTCCTTTTGAACTTCAAGTTCCAGATCGAGAATGCGGGAAATGGCATCACCCACTTCAACAAACTTCTGAGAAGGCCTGGCCTTGTTCACCTCCATCTCGATGGCACCCTTGCCAAGGTCAAAGACCTTGTTGGTCTCCTTGAAGAGATCCTCCTGACCGCCCTTGCCATCAGCCTGCATGGCAGGCAGGGCCACCGCCTGATCGTAGCCCAAGTACATGCCGCGGGCCTTAGGGTCCAGGAAACCACCTGTGCGGTAGGAAGGCACGCTGAACTCGCCACCCCAAGTGAAGCCAGGCTTGAAGGAGTTGCCCTCACCCTTGGCCACCAGCTCCTTGACGGTGAACAGGAAAGGCACGTACTGGCCATCCGGCAGCTTCACAGTCGTGGCTGCGAAGTCCATGCCATCCTGCTCCTTGAACGTGATGGGGTTGGGATCCAGGCTGCCCTCAACGAAAGCCAGGCTGTAGGTCTGGCGAGTGGTCAGCTTGGTGGTGGCGAACTCCTTGCCCTTGTCAGTCTCGAACTCCACTGCAAAGGACTTGGGCTCGAAGCACACGTTGATGAGCCGGGAGCCGCTCTTCACCGGCACCTCAGATCCGTTGGACTCCACGGTGGGGCAGCGGTTCGCCAAGCCGGAGCCCCTGACCTGATTGTAGGTGAGCTGGCTGAACTGCTCAGCCGTGATGGCCTTGGCAGGCTGGGCGGCCACAAGGCCGAAGACCAAGCCAAGAGCGGCGCCAAAGCTCAAGAGAGGTGCGGCCCAGGACCAGCTGCTCTCGCTGCTCTGCACCGGTGCCGACTTCAACGCCTCGATGTGGTGAGGGGCTGTGTTTGCGCGGGGTGGCTGGGTAGGCACTCCGCTCAGGAAGCAGCTCCCTGCGACCACGGCTGCCAGCAACACTCCCACCACTGCGCAAGAGCGGGCCATGTTTTGCAAGCTGAAAAAAGAACCAAAAAACTGCGGACACGTTTGACTCTTCGAGCATCTGCAAACGGAACCTCTCCTATCAAGTGCCCAAATGACATCAAAAGTTTTGAGTTTGCGCTTGCAAATTGATATCAAGGTCAGATGGCAACGAACAACGCGCAGAAAAAACATCTTTAAAACTAGGTGTTACAAGGAGGTTTCATTAAAATGACATCCTGAGAATTACCCCCGAAAATTGTGGTTGAAAGGGGGTTCACACAGCAACGGCTGGTTTGCCCCCCCCCCAAGCCATCGTGTTGACATTCTTTAATTTCATTGGCTGATTGTGTCACCTGAATCGTTGACAGAAGGGGGAGGACACCATTCGAACTAGTGAATGAAAGGCGCTATTTCAAAATTGGTTCCATTCTTTTTTAATTTTCTGGGCAGCCATCACTTTTGTTTTGAAAGAAGCTAAACTGAAAACCATCCGGAGGTGTTTTGCCACGAGTCTGACGAACTGTGATCTGGGAGCTCGGTTCTTGGGCAACATAGGCCAGGAAGGATCCCAATTGGATCAATGCAGGCAAGGCCCAACCGAATGTGTGCCTTTTCCTTGAGTTCGGCCCTGACTCAAAACGCACACGGCGCCGCGGCGCCAGCCGTCGCGGCGCCAGCCGAACCAGATCCCTGGCCGTTCAGGATGTTCCCGCCAGGTTGTGCGTGGGACAGAAGTGAATGGGTGGATCCAGCTGTGGCGCAGGGCAACGGCAGGGCGTTCCGACTTCAGGTTCGCCGCACTCTGCAAACATATTACATGGCGCGAGGGGCGACACATATCCATCGTCATTTCCCGATGGTTCGTCCTCCTTGGGGTTGGAACAAGATCTTACGAAAACAATATCCAAAACAGTTTCTGCTCTTGGCACTGGTGACGGGTCCTGCATCTTCCATGCACCGATCTGACAAAATGAAAAAATATCGCTTGCAAATGCTGTGTCAAACAAATCTTCGGTTTTGGGCAAGGAAGATATAGTTCAGGCAATCAAAGAACCCACAGAACCCGATCCCAAAGATCAGTGAGGCAGTGGCGATGACCAGGTCGAAGACGTGACAGTTGACAAACAAATGGAGTTGGGAGTGAATGGAAAATGGGTTGAAATTAACCAAGCCCAAGTAGAACAGCACAACCACCAGCTACCTGCACCCAGGCGTCCGCGGACTTGAGGATACGGGAAGCTGCCAGTCTATGGCGCCTGCAACGCGGATCCTGAACCTACTTGCTGCGAGGCAAAACTTGAGCCAAACGGCATTTGCCGTTTGATAGGAAACAACACGTGAACAAAACACACACACCCATCATCTGAAGTCAATACAAGAGGCAGGATGTCCAGACAGTTGACTTCACGGTGAATGAAAACAACCAGAACACCAGGATTTTTTGACGAAAGGGCCACATGAGCAAGCAGAGGAGAATCGTCATACACAGATCCTTCGCGTGCCATTCACGTGTGGGAGAAAGGGTAGAGGGATCCTGTCCACCCCACCGTGCCTCGCAAAGACTCAGGTTGGTGTGTGGGAGGAATACACGACACGAAGAAACAAACCTAGACAAAGACTACATGTCCAGATACGGGGACGGCCTTGCCAAAGAACTCCAGGAGAAGCAAGACCAACAGCAGACCTTTATGGTAATCCGAGAGGCAGAATCCCACCGCCGGGATGCTTCTGTGCTGTGAAGGGAAGCCGCGTACAAGCGAACAGGATGGTGTCATCCGTTGAGGTCTCCCAGAGCCTTTTGTCAGACCACCCAAAAATCAGCCTTGACTCTTTCGAGATGGGGCAGCGCCTCTTTAAAACCCTTGTCGAAGAGTCTGGCCACTCACGTAGACATCACGGCTGTCACGGTAGATAACAGGGCCCCCCTCGGAGTCGTCACCCGACGAATCCTTTCTTGCCTTAACATGGTGACGATTCCAAGACTTCTCGTCTTCGTGCCTGATCCAGTAGTCCGCGATGACAAAATTACACTGGCTGACCACGCAGAAGAACTTTGCAGCCAACGAGACGGCTGGGCAGGATAACGTCCTCCTGTAAGAGCTCCCAGCCTGTAGGGAAAGAATGGCTGCCCAGAAAGACCCTGAGTAGAGAGAATTGCATAATTAAGCGAGACTGCGCATGCGTCCCCTGGTTCCTGGAGGCAACCATGGTGTTTCCAATCCTGCGTATATGCAACGGTACTCCATCCTCCCACATTATGTGTTGTAAGCTGCCGCAACCGACTGGGCACCTTTTGGCATGTGTCAAGTCGATATTGAAGTACAGCTTGAGCAATTGCACAACTGGGCTCGTCAGCAAGCTGCAGACTCCGGGCAAAGTCTGAGTGGCGCCTGCAGCCCCAAGTCTATGTGCGAGAGACTCAATACTCAGACCCGCAAGGCCAGAACTCTGCTGGCAGATGTGGGGAAGGAAACTTGCGCAAGCCACTTTGGGCAAAAACGTCGGCGCAATCAAATGTACCAGCAAGAAAGCATCGAGGGCATCCAGCAACACGTTGCATCTTTTGCGCAGAATGTTGAGTCTAATTTGTGGCTTAGTGGGTCTCAGGTGCGGGGACGTACGACGACACCACCTGCGCCACAGCTTCATTGCCGGCTTTCCGACCGAGCGCGTGCCCAAGATGCCCCTGAGTGGTGTCAGCACCCGCTCGGGCAACCTTGCTTGGTTCACCTTCAAGGGACTGGACGGCACGATGACGGACCTGTTCATCCACCTGGTGGCCTACCAGCTGGTGACGCTCTCCGGCACGGGCGTCTCTCGGCGCTTGACTAAATCCAAAAAAAATGTTCCTTTTGAGGACAGTTAATGCCCAGTTTTTGCAGCGCCAAGAAACCAGCAAAATCTCCAAAAAATCCCGCTGCCACTCAACGCCGTTTTTGGCTACAAAGTGGCAGCGCTCAAAAAATGACAAAAAAAAAAAAACCGGTGCCACTCTTCGTCGTTTTTGACGTTTAGAGTAGTAAGGAACATAGGCTTATACTACCCTAATTATTTTCGTTTTTGGGTCGAAAAACCCTGCAAAACAGCCAAATTCTCCATCCTGCTGAACGTTTTTCCGATGTCACCGGTCTTTGTCACCGCTCCGTTTTTGGGTCGAAAAAGTGCTCAAAACGGCCAACTTCCCGGATTCCCGAAAAGCTCGTTTTTTCCTGTCAGACGGCAAGCAAGGTGCCTCAGCCTCTAGATTTGCTCGGTTTCGGCCGAAAACAGGCTCCAGACGCGCACGCTGCTCTCGATTTCCGTTTTGCCCGGAAAAGCTGGCAAGTT